GCCTTCGAGAACTAACCAGCACCCTTCGTGGAAAACATTCCATTGTCATGTTGCTCACTGTTTTCTAATGCCGCCTCCCCCACATGTATATTGGCCATTTAAGCAAACATAGCTGGTAGTAGGGGGGGGGGGGCGGCTACTAGTAGTAGTAGTAGTAGTAGTAGTAGTAGTAGTAGTAGTGGGAGCAGGAGCAGCAGCAGTAGTAGGAGCGGAGCAGGAGCAGGGTAGGCATAGCAGCTTGAGCAGGAGCACCAGGACGGGGAGGGTCATTGTGGCAACAACCCCTCGCCATCCATCACCTGATTCTGATGATGAAGCAGTCGCAGCCAAGGCCAAGGATTCATGGGGCAGGTCACCATTGCACTGGGCAGTCGTCAACGGCCACAGAACTGTCGTTATGAAACTCCTTGAAGCAGGCCCGCCTAGAGTGTAGGACTAGCTAGGCACTTTCACCAGTTCTTTCAAAAGTTTTGTGCACTGTAGGGATTTGCTGGCTTGATCAGGTGCCAACCGCAATCTGCAAGACGCCGAAGGCACTGGCTGAAAAAGTTTTCTTCTGGATCTGAGAGCATGACAGACAAGGCGAACACAAGTTTCGGGATAAACTCGTACTCGTAGCTTGCCTCAACCTATCCAGGTGAGACGCCTCTGCAAATTGCCGAGCGCCGGGCCCAATGTCGAGCACAAGACCGACCAGGAGATATGGGGGCTTCTGCGTCGTGGCCGCGTCGTATGGCACGTCATGGTTTTTCCATCTCAAGCCTGCCGTTGAGATCGCAATTCGTTGGTTGTCAAGTTTGTTGTTTCAGCCACACCAAGGTCTTCGGTGACATTGCCACTTTGCTGGGCGGCTCAGCCAGCACAGCGAGGACGTAAACGCAGAGGAAAACTCAGGTCTATCAATTTTGGTCCATGGTGCCTGTCAGAGAAGCAGCAGCAAACTGTGCCTGTTAGGTGTCAACATGAGGAGTATTTCAGATCTTCCTGCTCGCAGAAGATTTGCAGAATCAAAACAAAAACCCATATTCGGATTTGACCCAAACGCCATGGCTGGGCGCCGGAGAGCTGCCACCCTTCTTGTGGTGGCACTCTGTGCCCTATGGATCCCCCTGGGTTCTCCAGACCTTCGGATGTTTGCGTCGCCTGGAAAAGGGAAAGGCCAACAGGTCAGCATGTTCGACATGGCCACCACCGCGCGAAAGTCCAAGGGGAAGTCTAAGTCCAAGCCAAAGGGCAAGGGTATGACCAGATCTAAAGCGGAGAAAAATGTGAAGCCTTTTCCTAGCAAGGCCGGCGACTCTTTCCTTCCTGCGCAGGGTGCGTGTGTAGCTGCCTCATTTCTGCCTGTGCAGTATCCGACCGAACAGCTTGACCTCGAAAAGATATTGTTCTCACCAGATTCCACTTTCAAGATTGGTCTTGGCGTGACTATAGTTGGCTTCCTCATCGGCTTGGTGTCCATTGTTACCGTCACTGCTGCAATGGAAGACAAGAGTGGACGACTGGCCACTTCGGGCCCCTTTGCCGTGGTAAGGTCTCCAACATATACAGGTTTCATAATCATGTGCGCTGGGGCTTGCATCATGACCCTCAGCCCGGTGCGAGCTGTGTTCACGGTGGCCCTGGCGATCGTTCTGTCCATGAAGCTGGCGGAGGAGGAGGAAGCCTTGCTTGATGCACGGCCCGAAGAGTGGGCGCAGTACACCAAGTTGCTTGGATTTCACAAGGGGTTGCGCTTAGGATTTCCACGCGTAGCTACACAAACACAGATCAATGCTCTTTTCCTGGTTTGCGGAAAGGGCGGGGGAACCACCAAACCACTCTGCAAAGAGCTGAGGAAAGTTCCGTACAAGCTCATTCCCTTCTTATGGTGAGGGCAGGTACTGCGCATTGCGTTTTGGACTGGCACAGTCTACCAAGCCTTGCCGCCTTGCCGTTGCAAGATGTCTCACAAGCGATCGGCAAGCGATCAGCCTTGAGAGCCTGAGAAGAAGACGATTTTCCTCTGCCTCAAAGGAAGGCAGCGCGCTGCATGCGCCGCAGGCCAGGTGCTCCAGGCCACGTGAGGAGCCTGAGGAGGTGAGGCCAGGCTTCCAAGCCGCCAAAGTTGCAACATGAAGCTGTGCCCAGATGCGCGAAACTGGACTTGCCCAAGTTTCGACTTGCCCAGAACCTCGACCCTGATGCGAAGTTACTGGCATTTGCACAGCAGCCACGAGGGTGTCGTTTGCCGGCTCGAGCCAGTAGAAACCCGCGGAATGCTTCAAGCTGTCGTGAAACTATGTTCTCACACTTGAGTGCGTTGACGCGCCAGCCATAGCAACATATAACGACGTTACTTGTCTCACACCCTACGCCATGGAAGCCTTTTTTGTTCAACCTGGAGCAACAGCCCAAAGAGAAGGTAGGGGAAGTCATAGCTGTGAAAAAAGACGTAGTTGTTTTGGGTCAGGACTGCTGCGTGCGGCAGAGAGGACGGAGAATGAGGTTCCGAGAAGTACCTGGCTTTCAGGCAAGGTGTGGAGTTATACAACAGACGCAACCACGGACTTGGCAGTTTGACGTGAATGAGGTTGCACTCAGCAAGCCAAGAGAGTGCTGTCCGAGTGCTGTCCGTGTGTCCGTTGCAGAGGTGCCTTGGCTCCAGTTCCTGCGCTGCCTGCGCTGCTTGCGTCCTTGGCTGTGCCGGCGGCTTTGCAGCTTTTCAAGCGGCGGGCGAGGCCTTGGAGGCCTAAAGCTTGCAAAGAGCATCAAAGAGCACTGCAAGCTTTCTCCAGTGGCACTCTGCCAGGACCCGTGGGCCCAAGCTCTGTGCCACTGGCTTTGCCGTCGAAACACTCAGGTGCCAGGGGAGAGCAGAAAGAAAGACTAGGGTTCAGCTTGTTGGATGCTTGAGCTTGCCTGAGGCAGCGTGCAGTTTATGGGCCCCAAGATGGCTTTGAAAGGGAGGCAAAACTGAGGAGCAGCTCCGTGGAAAGGGCCGTTACTAGGATGACTTTGCACTTAGCGGCTTTAGCAGGACTTGGTTGAAGCAAATGGGGTGCAGCGGCATGGACCTGGTTGAGCTTGGCAAGAAGTCCGGTGTCTTGTCACAGGACCTTGATAGAACAGGGATGCCTACAAGGGGATTACCATTTTCTGATGTGTAAATATCCNNCAGCGTCCACAGTAGATGAGGTGTAGTCTCACGGAGTGATGTGTGTTAACCCCGGCACAAGTAGCATCTGCATTCTGATGCATTCGACTGCCAACCTGCTGCCAGTCTGCTGCTGTTAAGCGTGACTAGGGGCATGGCATGCATGGCTGCTTTGGTCACTGAGGCGTGTGGCTGAAGCCCGACCTGAGTCCCGCAGAGCAGGAGGCTGTGAGAGAAGGGAACATTGTCCTGGAGGTGCAGAGCGTGCCGCCGCCTTGCTGCCGGATGTCGCAACTCTTTGCATGATCCTGGAGGTGCCAAGGCAAGCCTGGATTCAGGCTGTCGATGTGTCTGATGAAGTCGACATCGAGGAAGCGCTCGCTGCACAGCTCCTCCAAGAAAGGGCGAAAGGTGGGATTCCACCCGGACAAGATTTTGTGAGTCTATGCTGCGCTGTCCTTCATTTGATTCACAGATGGTTGCAGGTTCTGCTTCAAGTTTCGAGCCTTATGTCGACTTTCTCTGGCGCAGAGTTCCAGACTGAGTTGTCTTCGACACCCACTTTTGCTCGAGTGTTGACAGCTTGTGCTGCAGGACCTGTCGCACCATCCCATGTTCTGGAAGTCTGAAGAGCTGTCGTGGCTATCGGCTTGCGACGGCGCACAGGCCGCGGTCCTGAAGATGCAGGACAGACACAGGAAAAGAGAGGGCAAGGTGTTGCAAGCCTTCTGAATACTGCGCAGTAAAAGGGTTTGTGGTCAGAATTTGGTTTCTATTCATCACTCAACGTGGCGAAGCGCTGTGTGGTTGTCCCCAACAACTGACTCAGTGCCGACGCCAAGTGTGTTTTGCGCTCTTCAAGTCTCCATGGCTTTCACCACGCCCTGACCATGCCCGTACAGCTCAGTCTCTTCCCTCCCCCAGGAGCGGGCAGAGCAACGCCTGGTCGATCTACGCCAGAGGTTCGAGTCGGCATCGGAGGAGCCGCATCTGAAACAAATTCTGCAGATGGGTGGGGTACTGTGCCGACTTGATTTTTAGGGGTGCGGTCCTGTTGGCTTGCTCTGAAACATGCTAACACAAGTGGCTGCCTCAGGGCAAGAGCTCTGGCATGAAACTCCCAAAGCAGTCTGGCTTTGAGAAGTACGATGTGTATCGGATTGTGATCAGCTTTGAGCTGTCCTAAATGCACGGATCTTATGCAGCTTGGAGGAGGACATTCGTTTTGCCCTGTGCCTGGTGGAGACCAGGGCCATCCAGACCGAGGGTGTCTGCGGCGCACTTGTCCCGCTGTTGGACCACCTGCGTATCCCAGAAGCAGCATTGAGAGCATTGGTGCTGGCATGTACTGAAGAGAGGTATTCTGGTGAAACTTTTCATTGATGAGTCGTGGGATGAGGCAACGACTCCACCGCCAGCCCCGCCCTGATCGTTGGGGATGAAGGGGTCGCTGGTGGTCCAATTGTTGGCGTCGCGTTGCTCTACTGCACACTGCGGAAGTATGCGCACCTGTTTGTTGTGCCAGAAGTAGGCCGGGCAACGTGTCCAGGCTTCATGATCTGGATCCCGGATCAGAGTTGCGCAACTGCTTTGAGCCTGTGAGCAACCTGGAGCTCTTCACGCAGTACGGCGAGGCAAGGGATTTGTAGGGGCCTGCAATGGCCTGCAGTCCGCGCCATGGCCACATTGCCGTGCAGGTTCAGATCCGCGATGCTGCTGGAGTTGATGAAGCCGTGCCCGAAGCTAACGCATTCAACTATGCCAGGCCCCCAGCAAGCAGTTGAGCAATGCCGTTTGCAACATATTGCGCTGACTCATGGTTGTCACTGTACCTATTGATGCAGTGGTGGACGCTGTTTCTAGCGCAGCACGTTTATCAGTCAAGTAGGTGCAGCTACCTGTCAAAGCTTTTCCAGAGCAGTGGCGCGCAAGCTCAGATGCTTTGAAGAAGGCTGGCAGTTGTGCTGTCATACGGCTTGCAGTGGTGCCGTCCTTTGATCTGCGAGGTGAAGCTTGAGGTTCTTGAAAGACGGGCTGGCCTTGACCTGGGCAGCAGCCTGAAGCCAAGCTGTTTACTCGGTTGTGCCTGGAAGCGTGTTTTTGTGCAGGTCGCGAAGCTGGTGCACAGCAGGTCATGCGGCTGCCTATGGATGCCATGGTCACTGGCCGCATGCTCCCTGCAGCGCGCTTTATTTGCATGCCGGTACCGCCCCAAGACATGGAGGACACAACGTACGGGTGTGGGATTTATGGTTTTGTGAGGGGGCGGGTCAGAACAGGGAGGAAATGAAGGTTCGACCATCAGTGGAAGGAGAAGTGCGAGGAGCTCTTCACGAACCTGTTCTCAGACTGTGGCTTTTCCTGCAAGCAGAGATGGATAGAAATTGTGTTTTTTCTAGAGCACTGGCCAAGAGCAGAGGGCTTTGGAGGTGAATGGTTTGCCTGGCCCCTTCTAAAAACCTTCAAACTTCTGGGCCGCCAGCCACAGTTCAAAAATTCCCGAAAAGTATGGCCCGGTCATGTGATGATCTGAAAGCACTTTGTTGGTCACAAGGTGATCCCAGCTTACTTCCTGGGAACAATGACGAGTGGGGCAGTCAGTCGGCAAGCTCGCGAGCGCCGCCAGCTAATGCCGACGAGTTGGCCCTGGAAGTTAAGGCTGGGAGTTGGCGCGAAGAGAGCGGCAAATGCAGCAAGCTGTGCAGCTGTGCTTGCACACCAAGTCCTTGTGCCAGGCGCGTGTGCTCGTGGCAGAATGGTTTGAGACCGCCCTGCGGGGCTACGACAAAATGTCCGAGAGGATAGCTCAGGTCAGAGTTGGCGTCGCAGATGGGGGAGTGGTGCGCGTGCGAAAGATGCCTCATGGCTGTCAGGATCTAGAAGACACACTCCTCGATACTTCGTCATCTTCGCCATCTTCGCCTGGCGCTCCCAGCGAAGATCGCAGCCTGGCAGCCGTGGCATGAAGGTTTCGTGGAGCATTCTGAGAAGCTCAAAATGCAGGCAGTCAGCCGCGACTGGCAGAGGTTACCTACGCCTATTACAAGGCAGGGCCAGCAGCAAAACGCAGACCAAAACATGTTGTGAAAGCTTGCGCAAGCTAGGCCGACTTAGATTTTGCTTCAGAAATGGACGGTGGAGCTAGTTCTAATGATCGTGGGTCGTTGGCTAGGGCAAAGCTCGAATCAGGGGATTCGAATCAGGGGATGAAGAGGGGGATCAATATTAAAAGTGATTCATGGAAATCGGGCTGCTGGGGTCAGAGTAGATGCGTCAATACATGATAGGGCTCATGTGGTCATCTTTTGTCATTCTCATCATCATCATCTTCATCATCATCACCATCATCATGACATTTTGTCATCATAATTATCGAAGCGTCAACACCAGGTGTGCTGTATCAATCAATCAATCAATCAATCAATCAACCAATCAACCAATCAACCAATCAACCAATCAACCAATCAACCAATCAACCAATCAACCAATCAACCAACCAATCAATCAATCAATCCATCAATCAATCAATCAATCAATCAATCAATCAATCATCTAGATGCCTTTACTTCACACAGTCTAACATCATAATACCAGAATCATCACCATCATCATCATCATCACCACCATCACCATCACCATCACCATAATCATCACCAGCACTGCCACTGCCGACGCAGCAGATGCCTTCGCTGCTGCTGCCACCGGCGCCAGCATCGCCAATGCCATTGCTGCCGCCACCATCACCACTGCACCGCCGCTGCCACCGCCAACTGCACCCGCGGCTGCCGCATTGTGCGCGATTGACCCTCTACCGTCTGTTCTTCCTGCTGGTGTTCCTGCCAGCTCTCACCGTTTGCAGCTTAGTGGGTTTGTTTTAAGACTTCGAGAAACCATCTCATGCGCTTGCCGAAGGCTAGGCGCAAGGACGGAAGCAAGGGGAAGAGCCGAGCGCCAAAGACGTGCCGAGTGCTTTCCTCCCGTGCTTTGCTCTGCATTGAGAGGCCTATTGTTTGGTTATAGAACTACATAAAACGAGCTCAGGTCCCAGTGAAAGTACTGTCATTGTTCAATTCCTGGAGAACGGTGTTCGGCACACAATTCCAGAGGCCAGTCTTATGCTGCAAGTGCGATGATCAGAACTGAGCTGAGACCATGCCTTTCTGCAGCCTTTTGAAAGGAGTGGCTGGTTCGCGAGGCCAGCACTGTGGCCGGGGCCAATCAGCAGGCACGAAGAGTTTGCAGGGTTTCTGCTTGCTTGACAAAAAAATGCCTGTCTAGCTTTCCAATCCGGAACTGAATCAGGGCGAGCAAGCTGCTCATCGAGCTCGGGGCCTCCTCGCAATGGCTTTGCTGGGCAGCCAGTCGTCTATCATCCAGGCATCTGCGGATCATCAGCGGATTCCTGGTGTCAGCATCAAATTCATATATTCAGCAGTCGGCAGGGGGAAGAGATTCACCCTGTCCAGCTTAACAAGCATGCCCTGTCGCCCTCAACAGCGCATGCGAAAATATCCTTCTTCTGCTGCTCAACCAGTTTGCAGTAGGTGGTCACAGTCTCGAGAAGTTACCGTACAGCTTGCTGCACAAAGTCCTTGCCCCAGGCTTGCTACGAAATGCTGTTGAACGTGCTGCAGATTGGCCAGGGAATCCTGGACTGCAAACAGGAGCCGGAAAGGAGATCAATGGTGCAACAGCCCCTTGGCACTGTCTGCTAAGCACGGATTCTTTCCTGCAGTTGTCATATAACCTGATCCACAAGCCATGCGCTGTCTTGACAACAGCCTCAGCATGAGCTTCTACAGCCCAAAGATGTATGTCAGAGCTCTGTGGAGAAGAGCCAGTCGTTCTCATGCATGTTGAGAACTGAAGTGAGGTTTCAGCAGGCCTGGCAAGAGGAGTACGACATGCTTCTGCAGTGCCAGTCTGACAAGCAGGAACCTGCCTAGCCAAAAGAAGGGGGTGGCTCGACCAAATTGGGATATTCGACAAATCCTAGGTCAGGGCATGAGCTTTGTTGCATGTGCTTGCGTTACTGGCTCAGCATTAGCATGGGTGAGTAGCTGTCAAGCGATATAACCATATAGCCGTGTAACCTCACTCAGTCATGGTCACGCCACGTCTTGGAATTGAAGCGGTTTGATGGAACAAGGCAAGGCTGCAGGCTGAAATATGGACTTTGTTTTTACCCAAGCTGCCTGACAGCCCCCGGATAGCGCCGCCATCGCAGACCCACACACAGCAGCCCGCAGCTGCAATCCTGCGGTGCCATGGCTGCTGCTATGAGAAAGCAGTTGATCGAGTATCTTGAGGCTCTGGTGTTTGGTTAATGTGTGCGCTGTAATTGAGCAATGGCCAGGCTAACAAGGGCTTCGAGGACTCTGAAGTCCTTTGCAAGGACAAAGGCCCGCTGACGCCACTGCATCATATTGCAACCAACGCCCCTCAGACCGTGCATGTCGATTCTCAGGCTGGGACCATGAAGTGCTCGTGGGCGCCATCAAGTCCTTGCAGGCCGAGGCCATCAGCTTTGCCTTGGGTATGAATGGTGCGAGTTCTGCACACAACGGCATGAGAGGAGCAAGTAACTGCTGAGCCCATCAAGCGCGAAGGCGCCAGCATTCTCGTTTCCTCATGCTTTTCCTGCATTAACAGCACTTTCTGTGCTGCAAAGCGATGCGACGCGGAGAAGCCAGGCTGGAAGCTGACGGAAGAAGGAGTTCAGTACTGCGAGAAGGGAAGTCCAGAGGTTCAGGTCGGCTCTTCCGCAGCGGGTGCTTGCATACATCCAGAACACTTCCCAGGTATTCAACTTCATCAAGTCGAAGGGCTCTGCCCCCAATGCAGATGTCGATGCCGCGCTTGGCGCGGTGGCCAAAATTGGCCTGGCACCTACAGTAATGCTGGACTGCGAAGTCTTTTTCGCCAGAGGAGACGTGGCACTCCACAAGGTCTGGGAACCTGCATGAAGAACAAGTGGGTCTCCATTGACAAGGCAACTAAGGCCTGAATGAAGGACAAGCTGATGCAAGCAATTCAATGCGAGCAGGGTCGGAACGTGTATACCGGTCTTGATATGCTAGCCAAGCAGGTCTGCTCGCCTACCGTGGATTCCGTAGAGGACACGGTGCAGAAGGAGCTCTCATCTCTGAGCAGCTTAGACAAGGCATCCCCATGTCGACCTCACAAAGCGTCTTAGATACCTCCTCTTGATCCTGCTGTGAGCCTATCGTTCTTAAGCTAATCTTTCTGGAGTAGGCGAAACTCGACGCACTGAAGAAACGAAAGCTCATAGCGCCAACGAGCCTCACCGCCTTCAAGGCAAAGCTGAGAAGTCGTATGTCCTGTGCTGCTCACTTGATGAAGAGGGTGGCACCAGGTGGAGACGAGCGACAAGTTCTCTGCAGCGTCTCAGAAGGCTGTCGCAGACCTTACGTCAGAGATGATTCTGAAGGCAGGGCGATATCTGCTCACCCGCTGCGTGAATTAAGTGCGCTGGTAGCGTTTGCATGCAGAGGGCACGTGGAGCAGTACCACTTTCAAGCCCTTCAACCTCACAAATGTCAGCGGCGTGCCTTGCACTGGTGGGCACCTGCATCCCCTCAACAAGGCCTTTGAGTCTCCATGAGAATGGGCAAGTCTTTTCTCAGTAATTGCAGCATACGGCTTGTCGTACTGGTTGCCCCACGGCGAGGTGAAGACGGAGATGCGCCAAGTGCTCATGCAGATGGGCTTCGAGGAAATGACCACAAATCAGCTTGGGGCTCACAGTCAGGTTTAAGACGTTGGCGTGTAGTATTTTCTTTTGGGGTACTATGGCCCGCAACATAGAGTACGATTATAGATTGTATCACGCTCTTGGGCATGGTATTTGTAAGAATGTAATCTTGGCTTCAACAGTCAAAAACTGCTGCTCAGGTGGGTTGAGAGTTCCTTCTGGAATTTCGATGCCCTCTTCCAGCCGCAGCAGCAACATGGCCAGTACTTTTTTTTTGTGACGACTATCATCTGTGCTTGCACCATTGCTAGTCAAGGCATCCGGCTCGTGATGCCCATGACACGTTTTTCATGGAGGTGCGGTTCAATCTTATTGATTCCCCAACACGCCGTCCTCTTGGAGCCAGAACCTCCCGCACATGCCTCGCGCAGGAGCCTAGCAGGGCACAGGACATTCCTGCGGATTACCTTGCGAAAGTGAAGGAAATGCATGAGTGACGACCTCACTGGCTAAAATGTAGACGGAGCAGTATTCTTGTCTGGTATGCCTGCCGCTTGTAGCCAGTGCCAGCAAGGAAAGGTGGTCAGGGATCTATTGGCTGGCGCTACGACTGGAGCGAGGAGCGACTGCAGCTGCAAGCAATTTGCGCAGTAAGTCTGATAATATCTGATACATTGGGCGCCTGCTTCCAGGACGAAGCAAAAAAGACGCTTCTCCGAACCCACACTACGGCTGTGTCAGTCATGCCCTTGGCATTAAGCAAAACCAGCTGGCCTTGCAACTTACTTGGACTTGTATCAGGCCAGGACGCTGTACAAGTTGGGTGAGGCCCCTGCGTTCTTTGTGCACAGCAAGTGACAGAATTCGTGCATGCAAATAGCTTAAGAGCTACGTGATTTTTTTAATGCTGCCGCGATGCATCTTGGTGTTTGATGGCAGGAGTATCGAAAAACTGGAGTTTTCCGACCCAAGAAGTATTTTTCCATTGATCGTGTTTTCAGAAATGAGACGTTAGATGCCCAAGCCTCAGCCTGTACTTTCCTTGCACTGGAGATAGGCACTGTGCAAAACTTCACGTTGAGGCCACGCACTTGGCCGAGTTCCATCAGATTGAGGGCTTCATTGCCGACCGCCGTGTCCTTGGCACAATGCAACATCCATCGCCTTTTGGTTTCCTGAGCGCCGGTCAAAGGCAACATAGGGCTACCGCAGCTCATTGGAGTTTTGCGCGACTTTTTCAGTCGCATTGGCATCTCCAAATTGCGTTGCCTTCTCAGTCCTCGTCCACGGGCAGCTCATACAGAGCACAGCAGCATCTGGAATTGGACTGCGTCTCAAAGGCTTCAAGCCTGCCTACAACCCGTATACCGAGCCCTCCATGGAGATTTTCGGTGCACATCTTGGCATGCCTTCTTGTAACCTGGAAAGGGAAGGCAAGCGCCCGCTGTTTGCCAATTGTGACAGTTCCAAGGTTTCCACCCCATTCTGAAAAAGTGGATCGAGGACGCACAAGCTGACAATGACAAACCCTTGATCGGATGCATGTATCAATTTCAAAATCAAAGCCAGGTAGGCAACAGCGGTGTGTTCAGACCAGAGATGCTGCCTGGCCTTGAAATGACGTAAACTCCATTTTTGAAAACACGCTAATTACACAGTTGTGGATCTGTGCAAGGTTGTTGCCCATGGGTCTTCCGGAAGACGTTTCCGTAATTGCCTGGGGCATTGGCTGCGAGAGTTCCTCAGCTGCAGGTGCAGGCAAGTAGAACGACCGGTGCTTTGTCCGACTTTTCTTTGCACAGTTTTCACATTTGAGAATGCAACGACTTCAGTATGGCTCGGCTTCTATGCTGTAAGCTGGTGAGAGCCTGCTGCGCCAAGGATGGACAGCGCTGCTTTACAACATCCGCATGATCAAGGATCAGAACCACATGTTGGCCGCAGCATGTGCCATGTGTCAATGCCTGAGAGACCGATGGTTGATCAGTTGGGATGATGTTCTGAGGAGCTTTTCAGCTTTCAGCAAGATGTGGCGGCAACGAAGAAAAACCCGATGTGCTGGCTCCGCCGCGCGGAGGAGACACAAAATTGTTGCATCGCTTCCAGAAAGGAAACTCAAGCTCCCGTTCAGGATTAGTGCATGCAACTCGCAGCGATTTTGCGCCGCTCACTTGGGCACTGGCTAGGTAGTTTTCTGGTTGCTTGTAAGATGAACGGCCAACACATTCTCAAGCCATCTCAGGGGAAATGACGAGAAAATGTGGCATTCAGCTGGTATGTCTTGTCCCAGCTTTTTCGGTAGACTTTGCGACTTGTTGTACTGACCTCAGGTTGGTGCCAGCTCGCAAATCTGCAGATGCTGCCGCCACCAGTTGCGAACCATGCATCGTCGCGTCAAAACAGCCGAAGCCTTCGAATCCTTCGACCTCGGGCAAGTTGGGCAAGTACAACTTGACTTCATGGATAGGTGGTGTATGCCTTCCCGCCCATCAATGCATTTCTGTGTCTTTTGTTCCGCAGCCGCTCCACCTCTGCCTGCCAATCGCATTCATCAAGATGCATCCCCGAAGCTTGCCGGAAATGTGACATCGATGTAAGTATGTAATTGATGTAACTTAAACATGTTCCGCACGTGCACGTACAGGGCCTGCTCGGAGCATGCAGAGCTGTTATAGCATGACGGAATGAATGGCAAAGTCCGCCGCTCAGGTGCAGATGGTCGCAAACGCGGACTGGCAGACGGCTTGTAGCAGGCTGTGCCTGCATGCAACGGGCAGGAAATAGAGGTGATGCTGTATGCTGTGTGCTCATTTTCAGTTGGTCCAGGCTCCAGCATCAGCCTGGGCTCCCGACCCTTGCAGCAGCTGCCGGCGCCTGTTCTCGTGTGGCCGCCTGGAAGCCAGCACTGTCTTTGCTTGCAAAGGTGCAGGCCGCGTGTCAGTTCTGGTACAGTGCCAAACAAGACTGCATGGATGTTGGAGATGTGTGATGGCATGCCGATCAGCTAATTCTCAGGGCGCCGAATGCCTGACTAGATGCGGCTCTTAGGAGATGCTTTTAGCCATGCAGAACAGTTGTGTGAAGGAGCTGCGTGCCCCGGAGACAGTTACCTGGAACGCTGTTGTGACATCTTTGAGCAGCTTGACAGGACTCAAGTCTGTCTGCATTTCAAGTTGGTTATTGAAGAATCTGCAGGCAGGGAGCTCCGATGGGGCATCGCTTCGCTTCTCCTCACGGCAGCACGACACTGGAAAGTAAGGCTGAATGCCAGAAGCTACGCCTCCGCCACACCGCTGCATTTGTCATGTCTTGCTTGTCTTTCCCTGTCAGTGACAGTGAATCACCCGCTGCGCTAAGATGCTGAGCGCCTTGAAAGTGCACAGCGACCCTTGGTCTCGCAGCCGCGAGTCTCGGTGGTGCTCTGCACTGCAGAGTGCGCAGAACCTACAAAGTGAAGGAGCCAGAGACAGTTTAGCAGTTTAGCAATGTTCAGTGACTTCTGGTCTACACCAATCATCTCACGGAGGACTTGGAGCGAATATCTTCGTGAAGAGCGCAGCGGCCGGGCTCTGCGCGGAGGCAGGTGCCTGGGCGAATGCAGCTCTTCTAACAGCATCCTCTCGTCGCTACGACATCTGCGACGCAGTTCTGTCTAATGCAGCGATCAACGCATGCAGCAGGACCTGCTCTCCTCTTCAGTTTCAAGCAAACGGCTGTTATAGCAGTAGACTCTGGTCGCTGTGCCATGTCTCCAGCCCATTCAGGAGTCGCAGCTGGTTTCAAGCCTTCCTGACTCTGGAGAGCATGAAGCAGCAATTGATACAGCTCACGTCTGTCACCTTCACAGGCCTCATTGCAGGGAGTGCTGGGCTGACATGGAACCAACCGCAGGAAGCAACATCAAGACAACTCGGAGATTGGCAGAGAGGGACGGCACTGCTGGCAGCAATGGTGGCCAGACGTTTCATGTCACGAGAGGCGGCGGCCACAACTGCCGCAACGTGTGCGAAGCGATGGGAGCTCACCCTTGATGTGCTGGCATACTTTGGCCTGCATGGCTTCGGGAAGGTTGATGGAGTTCTTGCTGGAGCCGTGGTTAACGCCGTGGGTGTGTCTTATGCGTGGCCAGAGGCAGTCTCGCTTCTTGGTACCCTGCCGTGGCACGCACCTCATTTGTCAGAGCCTGCCATGTCGTCTGAGATGCCTGGCCAGTTATGCTGTTTGCAGAGGTTGGCGTCTAGTTGCGATCCTGGCATCTGCAACATCCTGATCACCGCTTGCGGAGCAGCAACGGAGGCTGCAAATTGAGGTGCTGCATCGACATTTTATTTCTTACACAGCCGCGCTGACGCTTTCCCATGCGTTACGCATCAACCCTTGTCACGCGCTTGTTTTGCTATAATTTTTGTCCCTTCATGGTCCGATACTGCGATACATTGTGCAGGCCTCTAGAGCACGCGCTCTTCTCACCGGCATGCTGGCACATGGCCCTCGGCCTGACTTGATTTCTTTCAACGCTTTTTTAGCTGCTCAGCTGCAGAGTCTTCGTCTCAGAAGCTTCGCTTCTCACCCTTGCTTTGGCCGCTTTGCCATGGCAAGTCAGGCTGTTGCGGGACAAGACTGGACCAGTGCCATTTCGGCCTTCGAACAGCTTCGTCAGCTCGACCTTCCGCCAGACAGGCATGAGGATGTGATTTTGTAATTCTGGAGATTTTGGTGGGAGAACAGCAATCCACGCCTTCCTCCGTATAGTTTTAAGTTCTGAGGCTGACAGTCAACAACTGTTGCAACGCATTTGCTGCTGCACGGCGATGGCAGCGAGGGCTTGCTCTACTTCAGTCGTGGTGGACAGCCTTCAAGGGTCACAGTTGGCCTCTTGCCATATGTATGCCATGAAGGGAGCAATTGTGCTGTTCGCTGTTCAGATGTACGCAGGAGGCACGCGGGAATCACTGCCTACAATTCAGTCATGGAGGCGCTCTGTCGGGCGAAATCTATCGTTGTTGCACGCGACTGCGAGATTTTCCCCAGTCCAGGCCTGCCAGCAGCCAGCAATGGTGCTTGCACTTTTCCATGAGATGCATGCTGTCCGCCGCAGCCTCAGACAAGATAACCTCAGACAAGATAGCCTCAGACAAGATAGACAAATGCTTGTTGTCGGCATACTTTGGAGTGAATGCCCGCGACACACTGAGGCCTTCATCCAGATGTCTCTCGGCCACCCGAAGACCTATGGTGTTTGTTCTTGGATGGAGGTGATGTGAAAGATCAGCTCAGGTTACAGCGCTGGGCCTGGTCACCGAATCCTGTGTTGCAGCCGGGAGGCCCTTGCTGTGGTCCTGTAATCCTAACAATTCTGCATGGCCCCAAGTATTCTGAACCCTGGTCATGGTCATGCAGTATGGCAAAGTCATACAGGATTCATGGCATTCGACGTGTGAAGCACCAGACTTTATTTGACCTGGTCAGGATGAAGCTTCAAACTGAGCTATGCAATCGCATGCAATGGGATGTGGTTTGCCTTCTGAAAAAGTTGCCCGGTCCAAACATTAGGGGGAACGGTCCATCATGCTATCGCGTGAATTTCCCTTTAACGCTGGCTTGGGTAGTTCCTATCCTGGGTTGCGCAGTTGCAAAGAAGGATTTGTGGGTGCGTGTAGCTGCCAAGAAGACATGACGTGTATGCTGCAGACATGTCAAGGATCTGGAGTCAAGCGCAACGGGTGTCCGCCTCTACTTTTTGGGAGTTTGGGCGGGAGCCAGTCGTACAGCTTTAGGGGAGTTTGTGTTGTGTTTAAGTGTGTCGAGCCTAGGATATTAAACTTTTTTTGGAAATGAAATGACCATGAAGTGCGATGAAACGAGCATAGAGATTTAAAGCCTGCTGGATGCGTCGAATGGTGCTGGACCTGGCGCGCCGTCTGTAAACGAGGCCAGTATTGTCTTCTGGAGATTTGTCGCAGATTCTTGCACCATGCATTGCTGTAAACAATACTGTCATTTGCCTAAGCAGACACTTTGAAGCGTTTGGCTGTCATGGTAATCAGGTATATAGCTGGGGCGAAAGATTGGCACGGTCGTGCAGCACCGCCGTGAGAAATCTGATTTAATCGCTATCGTGAGACTGCCTCGGCAAGAGTAGAGGAGTCTAGCCTTGCAGAGCCCGTCTCCCCCAGCCCCCGAGTTTACCGCCTCGGATTGCGGCGGTCCATGGCCGAGACTCGCACCGGCCAACCAGCAGATCCGCCGACCCCCCGCCAAGGGCAGGGCTCGCAAACTCTCCTAGCCTCCAAACTGGATCTAAGCGGTCCAGGCGCATTGCGCCAAGCTTTGTTTGAGTTTGCGTCTGTGCTTCTGATGCTGCATAGGAAATGCTGCAGGAAAGGTGAGCGTTTGTGTCCAGGTGCAAGTTTGTCTCAAGCCTTGCTAGTCTGCCTTGAACACACCATATGCTGATCATGCGCATTGGCATTGTGCATTTTATGCGATTCCTGGCCTTCTTGGCGGTGGCGTCATTTGCGTCCAACACCTCATGCCTGGACGCCTTTAGCCCTGTGGTTCCTTTGCCAGTTCAGGAGAAGCATTGCCTCCTACCAGAGCTGGATGCTTTGGTCACATCACCCCAACGATTTCAGTTCGAGAAAATCGGAGTTGTTGTCGGCTATGAGGTGTTGTCAAAGCTAGGAGAGATCGAGTTCACAATCGTGGTTCCAAGTGCTGGTTGGTTTGGATTTGGCATCTCTGAAGTGGGTAGCATGATCGGAGCAGACATGGTGATTGTGGAGGAGGCTGCGGCTTCCTTTATTGTGACTGATGCATATTCTCATGCCTTTGACCGTCCTGTGGCAGACAAGCTGCAGAATTGGAAGGCCCAAAGCATCAGCCACCTCTGGGTTGAGCATTCTGCGTGCTCCTCCGAAACCAAGACCCAGGTAACCAAGGCTGTGCTGCGTCGTATGATCAAAACCTGTGACAGCGAAGATGAAGACCTAAGCCCTGAATGGATGCAGAACTACTTCGTGGCTGCCTATGGCCCAGGGCGAATGCACTACCATGGCGCCATCCGTGAGACCACCTCGCACTACATGTATTTGCCGGAGCCAATTCTGCACCACGAGGCGCTTCAAGCTGTTGAAATCGACGTGATGGGTCCAAGGATCCATGTTCCCGAAGGGCAAACAAACCATTGCTATATCAAGGTTGAGGTGCCATGTGATTTGAAGGTTCACGCCTGGGCAGTGCTGGATATCACCAATCTTCATCACATGCATCTTGGGCCGCTGGAACCGGAGCTGGATTTTCCGGAAGAGTACCAGTGTACGAGCTACAGTCCAGGTCAAGTATCGCTGTCCTGGGGTCTTGGTGATGCCAAAAAGGTGCTCCCAAATAGCCTCTACATTGAGCTCAAGGCAGGTACATACGTTCTTGAAGCTCACTTCGAAAACAATTTGAGGACTGCTTTTGACGTGAAGACAGGCTTCAGATTGTGGGCTGCGACCAGCGACATCTCACCTGACAAAGCTGTAGGTATTACCAGTATCAATGGAGTCTGGCCCGGTGTTTTGCCTGCCAACCACGTTGTGGAGCGAAGTTTTGTGTTGCTCCCAGCCTGCACAGATCTGATCCCACCCCACGGCATCACAGTGGTGGGAGCTCTGGCTCACATGCACTACGTAGGTACATCTATGAGGGCTTACAGGACAAGAAATGGTCGCACCGAGTTGTTGTTTGAGCAACGAGGGTTTGACTTCAACAGACAGGCTGTGATTTACAAACCTTTCAAACTCATGCCCGGAGACATAATTTCCTGGACTTGCAGATGGGATCTGCGAGGACACGAAGGCACAACTTGGGGCTTGAGCTCAGCTGATGAGATGTGCCAGATTTTTCTGGCAGCGAATCCTCCACTTCCCTTTGCGCGAGGAGTGGTAGGCATCCCAGCAGCTGGGCGTGAGTATGGAGTGTGTGGTACACGTGCCTGCTTTGACATGGATGAATGCTCTTCTTTGGCACCGAACAGCAGCGAGTTCTACGAGATTACGCAAGAGCCCATCATCCAGGAAGAAGGTGAGCGGCGAGAGCTTTGCCAGCTTGTGGTGGAAGCGGAAGCAACTCCTCCCTTGAACAATTGGATCTTGCCAAACAGCATGATCTTACAAGTGGGTGGAGTTGCTGCTGCCCAAGCCGTGATGTCATTCCTTTACAGGCGTGTTGGCAAGCTGAGCGACATGGACGTTTTGAAGAGCTCCTTGAACCTTCTCCTTGCTTTGGTTGGAATCATTGTGGGTGTAGTCATTGCATGCCATCCGGAATGGTTTGAGTCTGAGCAGCAGAAGGTCTACAGCGTCAAGGAAGCAATTGGAAGGTCGTACTGGTCCCTGAGTGCTTGTGCCGACTTGGTGGGTGCCGCCTACCTCTTTGAACTTATTGTGAGAGGCACCAACAGGAGCTTGCGCTGGGACGTGGCACTTCACCACTCGGCAACCATTGCAACCATCGGCATCTTACGGAATGCGTTTGCCTTCGAGCTCGCTCGACAGTTCTATGCGAGCATAGCTTCCTGTTTGCTGGGGCATGTTGTCGCAGACGTGCCGGTGTTGCTGATCTTTGCATTCCGCAGGGTCACTTCTTCGAAGCTTTTCCTGTCAAGGGCCCTCTTTGTGGCGGCGTGGATAAAGCTTGCCATGCATACTGCCATCACAGCATGCTCTTTGATCCTCTTCTTTGGTTCTGACCAAGCCTTCCACCTGGCGCATGGGAGCTTCGGTGCTTGGTTCAAAGCCACTTACAACAAGGATCGTCCCTTAGCAACAGATGCAATGCTGCGGTTTGATTGGGCTGCCCTTCTTGAAGTCTGTCTTCCACTGCTTGTTGGGACTCTGTTTCTCACTCAGATTTGGATCACCAGGGTCCTGGTCCGGGTGAGCCGAAGCAAAGACGGCACGGAGATCTGTCGCAGCGATGCTCCAGAGGCTATGAAGGTCTGAGCACGCTGCTAAACAGCCGCTCTCCCATGGATTGTCAGCCAGTGCGTTTGGTTTTAGGCTGTTCTCGGCTACATACTTGGCTCTTGTTGTATCAACATTCTTGCGCAATCTTGAGCCACTTAGTCGGCAGTGATGCCCTCGGGCCATGAAGGTCTGGGTGCACGGCTGCATGGCTTTTTCGCATGTACTGTCTGTCTGGCAGTGTGAGAACTTGTGCGACGAGGGTCCCTCGATTCCGGTCTGCCGACATCTTTGACCACGCAGTCACTCACGTACAGCAGTGATGCCAGTCTGGGCATCAATGTTTGTGCGGTGAGCCTGCATGGTCACGTTTTGTACTTATGATCAGTCAGAAGCTGTGACAATCAGGGTGACACGAGCCCTGAATTTTTTTATGCTCGAGGTGGGTACAGCAATTCCCGCTTCTTGATATCCTTGAGCAATTTCCAACCATTGTAGGCACCACATTAGTTGCTTATATTATGCCGGGCGCATTTTTAAATTTGTAGGCGCCACAGGTACCTCCACGAACGTGGGACTGGATGCGCTTAGAGGGGCGAAAACTTTGCGAAGCTTCTGTGGGCCTGCAGCCAGAGTAAGGAACGCACGTGTCAAGCCTTTGCTCCTGCTGACCCCGTTTGCATGCAGGCTGCAGAGATGCCCTGCTTGCAGAGCGACGGTGGCAGATTTGAGGTGCTTTGATGGGTCGTTGCCA